AAGATATTCATTCTACTTACTTTAGCATGTCTTTAGCATGTCTTTAAGACACTTAACTTTTTACATGCGTGCTGTTTGGGAATTATTAAATAAATAATTGTTGAAATTCTGTTTGAGGAAAGACATCGCGTTTTCCGAGACCCACTATGGTGTACGATTCCCTCGTCTATGTTCCACCCTGATGAGACGTTAAACGCGAAAGCTATAGGCGTCTCTAGTGCGACGTCTCGACGTAAAGTGATCGATTCCGAGCGCTTGTCGATCGTAAACTACGGACACCTCGGTTCCCTTGTCGACGGAAAAAATCGATTACGGGTGAGTCGGGGTGAAAGTGATCAATTGTAGCCCCGGAGAGAGCCTTCTTGGAGCATCCTGTACATTCCGAAATGTAGGGTGCGATAAATATTTCGCCCTCTCCCCCCTCCCTCTTCCCATCCGCGCCATCTCCTCTTGCTTCTCCGCCACCTCAAGATTTCTTCCTCGTCGCGGTGGAACCCGGCGAAAGAGGGTGTGGAAGGAAAAGCGAGGCGACTGGCAGTCGAGGGCGCCCGCCCGAGCGACGAGGGGGTGGCGCGCGGCGCGCCCGGAGGGGTAAACGCCGGAGAACGGACACACACTCCCTCGCGCGCTGTCAGTTTGGCGGGGGTTGCCCCTCCGCCAAGGCAAGAGGGGGGGAGAGAGAGAGAGAGAGAGAGAGAGAGCAGACCCAACCCGACGCGATCGGCCGATTAATCGAAAGTCAGACAGTCGCGGACCGTCGGCGCGACGCGCTCTCGCTCGCTGACGCTGGTGTTGCGTCGCATCGTATCGCGTGCCGTCGACTTACCGCGAGAAGAGAGAGACGGAGGTAGGCGTCGTCGCCCTCGTCATCGTTGTTATTGTTATTATTATTGTTGCCGTCGTCATCGTGTGAAGGAAGAATCGAGCGTGGAGCGCGGGAGAGACGCGCGTCTTTGTGCGTCTGGTAGTGCAATTGTTGTTAATCGACGACGTGGACGTGGGTGCTCGATAATCGGATTTTATCGAGCGTGGCTCGCTTTGTCGTCTGATAAAGGGCTAGATTAGGTTGATACGGTGTGCGCGGGTGAGAGAGAGAGAGAGAGAGAGAGAGAGAGAGAGAGAGAGAGAGAGAGAGAGAGGGAGAGAGAGAGGGGAGAGA